ATACTCGGGGGCCTCTTACCACCTCACGCTCGGGGGTGGTAACAATAAATTTCTAAGCGACCGCCAACTGGATATTTCAACTCATAAAATAAAATCGATGATGTTTACAAGAAAGAGAAATATAATTCGACCTATCATAGAATATAACAATATTCCAATAGAATACGTAGAAAACATAAAGTAGTATCTAGGTATCTAGCTGGAAAGAGCATATTAACGCCACAAACAAAGCAGGAGAAACATATGTTGAGATTAGAGCAAAGCATTTGTGTGCTAGGTTTCTGAGTAGAAGCCTAAACATCAGCAACTGTCCCGTCATAAACAGAGTAGATAAGATATCAGAAATCTTCATCTCACGTCTGTTATTAAAATCTCGCCCTCTAACCACAGAAATTTATTATCGCACACCTGTATACAAAGGAGACTAACAGCATCCATGATATGGAATATAATATCAGAAAATCCACACCGTCAAAAGCGTTTACTCCTGGATCATACAAAGGTCTTAGATCGTTCGTAGAAGTTGGTAACGTAATAGGTAGGGAAATAGAATCCTACATCACATAGAAATGGCCAGATTTTCAACACATATAATATACAGAAGGATCACTGGTCAGGCTCCCAACAGAAATGTCTCATGTGGAATATATGCCCCTATCCTGGGGATAGAGGAGTATTATCATCTACCTGATGAGCTATCTATATTTTCTGCCGGAATATATGCAATACGTACAGCATTAACCATTGTAACGGAGCACATTGGAACAAATAAAAAATTGTAATTTCAGAACCAAATTATACCCAGACATAACGCAGACTATTAGACTATTATACGAAATACACCAGGTATTAGAGGTAGCCCTGATCTGAGTTCCGGGGCATACTGTTATCAATGGAAACGAAAGAACATATCCTAATTCAAGTTAATTCCATTTAAAGTCTTTTTCTGCACAAATTTTTATTATTAATTCAGCAATTTTTATGATATTAAAAATAGCATCTTATATCTTCAAGTACAATGAAAAATACACCCAACTCTTTTTTTACACGGTCTTTTTTAACACGATTTTGAAATAACACGGTTTACCAATACATTTTTTTACACGAATTTTTTAAATTAGAACTTACATAGCAAAATCTGAAAAATCAGCTGGTGGTTTTAAAGCGGCCAAAGATCGAGTGACGTTCTTGTTATGTAGTAACGCATCTGGTGATAAAATGTTAAAGCCTTTGTTAATCAACAAATCTCTTATGCCACGAGCATTAAGACGTAAGAACATTAAACAACTTCCAGTCCATTTCATGGCGAATAAAAAGGCATGGATGACGGCTGATCTGTTTACAAATTGGTTCAACAACTGCTTTGTTCCTGAAGTCCAGAAATATATGGAAGAAAAAGGTTTGGAATTCAAAATACTTTTGCTCGTTGATAATGCGCCCAGCCACCCAGTGTTGGATCATCCAAATATTCAATTGCTATTTTTACCGCCTAATACTACCTCGCTGATTCAGCCACTCGATCAGGGCATTGTAGCAACATTTAAAATGTACTACATAAAGCAAACGTTTAAATATATTTTAGATTCAGTGGAAGAAACAAATTTGACTGTTTTGGAAGCATGGAGAAAGTTTACGATTATGGATTGCATTACACTTGCTTCTGTTGCCATTAAACAATTGCGCCAATCAACCTTAAATGCTTGTTGGAAAAAAATATTGCCAGCATGCGTCAAAAGTAGAAGTTTTGTAGTAGAAAAATCAGCTGTGTGTTCTGAAATTATAACTCTATCAAATACAATAAATTGGTGGCAACGGTTTTAACAACATTCAAACGGTTGATATTGATGAATTGATGCGAGAAAGCCCTTTGGATGAAGATGATTTGATGGAATTTATGACAATTTGTGAAAATAAAGAAATCGATAATGACAAGGTAGAAGATGAAGTTCAGCTATTAACGGCTGATTTAATTCGCGATGGCTTCAAATTTGCTACAAGTATGGAACAACATTTTCTTACTCATGATCCTGACATGAATTTCAACGTAGTCTTAACACTTTCGTGACCGATCACGTATTTTTACGTTTTTATATTGTCATCAGTGAGGAGCCGCTCACGTATTTTTACGTTTTTATATTGTCATCAGTGAGGAGCCGCTCACGTATTTTTACGTTTTTATATTGTCTATAGCCAGGCGCCGCTCACGTATTTTTACGTTTATATGACATTACTTGCGGCTCCTGGCGTAACAATACGTAGTGAAGATGCCGGCCATTGACGTTATCCTAATTGTATGTTGAGCGGACGCGAAAGTGTTAAGTTATGTGTAGCTGGATATGAAAAATTATATAAGCATATTGAGAAACCAAAAAAACAGCAGCTAATAACCGACTTCACAACTACAAAAAAAACAACAGAGACCGTTAATAACGAACAAAATTCTTCATTTGACATATCTACTGATGATGTTGATGATAGCGCTTTTGGTCCAGTCCGTAATAAACGTGCACGTTTGTTATCAGGTAGCGATGAACACTTGCGAAATTGATTTTTATTTCTAATTTTAGTTTACATTTTTATTGTTATGTTGGAGTTTTGACTGTACAGGGCGGTTCAAATTCGATGTCCGAATAGGCTAACTCGAAAACTATAAGAGTTAGAAGAAAAGTAGCTGACATGTCATGATCTCGTTTTTCGACAAACTGCTAATGCCGAAAACCTCATAGCGCTATCGTCTTTTGTTTTTCCACTAGAGGCCAAAATTGAAAATATCGTAAAACCTGCAAATGTAATTATCTTGGTTATTATTATAGGTGGAGTATTATAACTAAGACATTATATGGACACTTTTTTACAGAGAATTTGATGACGTAGTCAAAAAAATTTTGTCGGTTTTAGATTTTGAGATATTATCACAATTTTCGTTTTTTTAAATGGAAACAACCACTGATTATTCGCTTAATAAATTCGTTATTTTTTTCTGATTACAAAAATATAGGGTTTGACAGGTCTATTTCTTATTGTTTTAGAATAAAACTAAAAATAAGCTTTTCTTTTAGTGTCGTCGAAGAAATAAAATTTACAGTTTCCTGTAAATTACGGTTTTATAACAAAAAATTAAAAAAACATATTTCTGATATTTGAAACAAATATATTTGTTGAACTGTTTAATTTATATATGTTTTACACAAAAGTTGGAATAGATTGCATTATTTCACATTCTTTATTACGATTTAATATTATTTTTAAATGTCGTAATAAATTGTCGATATATGGCGCTCATGTTTTTTTTTTCTTTTTAATTCAAATAAACATAGCAACATTTGTTTGTATTCAAAAATTTTCTGAAGTGTCACTTTAAAAATCCTGTTTTTAAGATCAATTACGAAAATTTTGACATGTTAGAATGTTACATATTAAAAAATTATTTTTATTTAGTGTTTTTAAATACCAGATTATTTGTTATCTTCGTATTTAATTGTTAACTTTTTAGATTTTTACCTACCGCCCCGTAACTTACAGGAAACTGTAAATTTAATGTCCTCGATGACACTAGATGGAAATTTTATAAAAAAAGTTTATTTTTAGCTTTATTCTAAAATAATAAGAAATAGACCTGTCGAACCCTATATTTTTGTAATCAGAAAAAAATAACTAATTTAATAAGCAAATAATCAGTGGTTGTTTCCTTTTAAAAAAACGAAAATTCTCATGATATCTCAAAATCTAAAACCGAACAATTTTTTTTGACTATGTCATGAAATTCTCTGTAAAAAAGTGTCCATATAATGTCGTAGTTATAATACTCCACCTATAATAATAACCAAGATAATTGCACTTATTGGTTTTACGATATTTCCAATTTCGACCTCTAGGGGAAAAACAAAAGACGATAGCGCTATGAGGTTTTCGGCATTAGCAGTTTCTCGAAAAACGAGATCATGACATGTAAGCTACTTTTTTTCTAACTGTTATAGTTTCCGAGTTAGCCTATTCGGATATCGAATTTGAACCACCCTCTACATTATTTTTTTTAAAACTAATAAATAGCTTTTGTTTTATAAATATGTAATATACATTTTATCATAACTTTTTTTCTTTTGCACGGTTTTCTAAGGAACGTATCTACCGTGTAAAAAAAGAGTTGGGTGTATACAACAGTCTAAAGCTAAATAACAATTAAATCTAGAACAATGTAACAGTTTATAAGTGACAGCAGTAAACTAACCTAAAATGTTAGTTACTGGACAGCCCCAGGGATCTTTGATAAGAGAACTTGGGACTGATTGTATGTCGAAATCCCACCGTAAGATGGTATTAGCGTCTATACTAAAATAATTTAATTAAACTAACAATTTTATTATTAATAGTGGGAATGAAAATTATTACCAGTATCATTCTTTTAATTTAAAAAGTATAGATTCCAATTCGCGTTATACTTTTAAATTTGCCGCTAAGAATTTTAAAAGTTAAAGTTTGTTCAGAATGACATGAAAACGTCATTTTAAAGTTAAAGTGATTTTTCGGTAAGAGTATAATAAAGTAATAATGGTATGATTAAATAATTAGATTATAATTGATATTATAGCTTTGTTTCAGCTAACGTTATAACTGGTTGGAAGCTCGTTAGATGCAATCTCACATGTCATATGATGCTCAAATGTGGTGGCGTTATTTGACAGGTGTAATTGCATCTGAGCATCTGAGGAATTCCCTACCAGTCGGAACGTTAATTAGAGCCACATAGTGGCTCCAAACATTTTCCAAATAGTTATTCTGTGGTTGGAGCTTTCATATATAAACCCAATCCAACCTGTATTGTAGTGGTTCGGTTCTTAGCTGAATAATTCCAAAATATCCCTAACAGATGGCGCCAGATACGTTCAATTTTTAGTACAAAGTTTTTGTTTAGAAAGTTGCATTTCTACGAAGCTATTTTCTATGTTACTGGACGTTCAATATATCGAGATTTTACTGTACGTCTTTTAGAAGCTATTTACCTGGAGTTTTTGCGTCTACCTGTGTATCTTTGTTGTCGTTTATAGGACTACCTCGATTTTGATTAAAAAGTTCCCTCTTTCGTTCGGCTTCAGCAAGTTTTTCTTCAATTTGACGTTCGACTTTAACGAATTCAGCTTTTTTCCGTTTAATCTCCTCCTAAAAAATCAACAATAATAATTTAATGCGTCACAATTAATTAAATAAAAAATAATCACCCTTAATTGTGCATCGGAATCATCATCATCCGAATTTCCCTCCGAATTGTCACTGTCCGACTCCCCGTATGCTCCCAATCCTAGAGATATTCATTAAAATTGAGGCTATTTCATACGATTAACTTAAAAAATAATAAAAACAAAGCTTGCTTTTTTGTAAGCAAGTTTTAAATAGCCAAACCTGTCTTTAAAGAGGTCTCTAAACTACAAAATTAAATTCAAAAATAAAAGCTTTTTTGATTGATTTAATTTTTCTTTAAGAAAGCGGGTCGCCGGCGACAACATCGCGACCTTAGATTCTAAACAGGGTCTGAACGGGGGCAACTTACCAAGTCTGGCGCTTAGGTTGGCACCACTGGGTGCGGAAACGCGTTGATCTGAAGCTGAAGTTCACACAACACACAAATTAGATCATCCTATCACCCTGTTAACAGTCTCACAGTATCAAGTATGATAAAATAACAGAGATCAAATAATTTTTTTTTTTGGGGAAACAAAAATAAATTAACTAAATTGTGGGATTTCCAATTTGACGCGATTTTTTTTACGATCCATTTCCGATACTGTACCTTTCTGCTTCCTTTCAAATCTTTCCAACTCTTCTTTACAAATAGTCTGGATTTCGCGGTTTGTTACCTTGAGGAGAATATCCGTCATTGTTCTTCGTACCCAAACCATCTTAAAAAAACGAATTTATCGGTAACAATTTAAACAGAAATTAATTTATGTATGATTTTAATTACGAGGATTTGTTTTTATTATAAGGATAATTTCGCAAGGAAATAACACACTCCTCATGGATTAATTATGTTTACTCAAACATTTTTAATCGACATTTCAGGCTATTCAGCCCATCATCAGGATTTTAATATAAGTCTAAAAGAACAATTACAATTTTAAGCAAAAAACAACGATGAAACATTTAGAAATAATACATTTAAAATTCTTTTTATATTCTACATTTATAATCAGAATATACAGGATGATTCAAAAAACCGCTGACAGACTTCTAGGGCAGGTAATACATCAAAAAATAAGATGAAAAGTCTATTGTTTTGATCAATGTTTGGTAAGAGACCAATTGATAGATAATTGATCACTTTACACGAAAATACTGCCCGTTTGACAAAATTAGCAATGGCGTAGACAATATTTTTAAAAAAGGGCTTTTTATTGCAGAAAATGTTTAATTTTAAAGAAACTTAGCTCTATGTATTAAATTATTCATTGTGTTTAGGATTTGAGACTTAGGGTGTAGTAATGTAGGGTTCTATTGCTAGAAGAGGTCTTCTTATACCAAGTTGTGTAAATTTTGTTATTGTTATGGTCTAGTATTATTTTCAAATCTAAATATGGTATTTGTTCTTCTTTTGTCAATTCTACTGTAAATATTATTCTAGTTTTATATTCATTGAATAACTATAGTAACTGTTCATACTGTTGTTTCTTCGTGATGATCTATGTATTTAGCTAATAGAACTGGTTTTATGTTTGTTTTTCCAAGCTGGGTGGTTAGTAGATGATTTATTACTATTCCACAAATATTCATGCTTAAATTCAATAACATTGGGAGGCCAAAAAATTGTTTGTAAAATTTATTGTCGTATTTAAAATAACTGTTGCATAAGCATATCTTTAATCCTTCTACATATAATTTTTTATTCTTAATTGGGGTCTGATTTTCAATTCTATGCCAATTTTTCTCAATGATATTGACCGCATGGTTAAGTGGTGTATTTGTAAATAATGATTGGGCATCAAAACTAACTACATCATAGTCACTGACAGTTTCAATATTCAAGTTATTTAGTTTCTTTTTTAACTCAAAAGCGTTTTTTATGTCAAAATCATTACTATGATTGAAATCATTCAATGATTTCTTGAAAAATTTCTGTAACGCGCAAGTAGGGCCATTTATGTTGTTAACAATAGGTCTTAATGGTTTGTAATTCTGGGTGTAACGAAATGAGTCGGGGTCAGCCCTAGTTTCTGTATTTTGTCAATGAAACCATATTTCTTAAGTCGTTTTAGATAATCATTTATCTTATTAAATAAGGGTGGACCTGGATCAATACGTGTGGCTGTCAGTGTTGCCGCACCGAAGAAAATAAATGTACCAAAAATGCGTACTGAAAATGAACAAAATGTACTGAATTCTGAGAGAAAAATATTGGAGACCTTTTTTTTTAAGTCATAAGTTCAAACAAAACTTGTAAAATGTATTACTTTTATCACTTTTGAACGGTATTTACTACATCACCTAACAATGTAGTGATTTCTGTACAATTTATTGTACTGGATAAGGATATTGTACTGAATTGCTACTTTCACGTACTTTATCCCTGAAATCGTACTGAATCAGTACAATTGTGCCGAAACGGCAACACTGGTATATGTGTTTTTATCACTCACCAAGGAATTTACTTTATTCTCATAATCTGTTTTATACAGGGTGATTTATTAGCTCACCATCAAACTTTGACGTATGATAGTTAATCCAATTCAATTATTTACGAAATTATAATATTTTAAAGTTTTCTGCAGCGAGTTTATTAATAGTCAGTAAAATCAAACATTCAACAAAAACAAAGTTGTCATTGTAGGTATAATATGTCAGTTTGGTGTAAGGTTTAATTATTACTTATTACCAAAGCTCGGATATTTCGGTACCGTCTCAGTAGCGTCGTCAGCGCAGAACCTATGGGGCGCGATCATAAATGCACTCTCACCACGCGATCTACCGTTCCGATCGCTCACACATCTATAAGCATGCCAAGCCTGCATTCATCCGGATGTGTTCAGAGAATTCAGTACCAATTCATTTAATATCCTTTTTATTTATCGTTAAATCCATCATTTTCTGAATTAGAATTGTACTATTGTTTCAGTTTTTATAATTTCAAACGGAGTGTATTGAATATTTTATTTAATTATCATCGAATATTTTCCTGATTTGTTTTAATTAGAAGTGCCTTCTTGTTTTAGGTTTTATAATTTAAAACTACTTCTATTAAGAATTAATATTTTGATTTTTATTAACTGAATTACCCTGTTGTTTTAGTTTTTATTATTTATTCCAATGGTACACTTAATAGCGATTTTTGGCGATACGTTCACATTAATTGACAACAATGTAGCATTTTGCAACTAAGAAATATCTTCTAAATATGGCCTGTTAGTTCTAGCAGTTACATTTGTGCTAGTTACCAGTTGTGACGTCGAGTTAGGTCGTCATTTTCTGAAGTAAATTTAGAAAAAGTCATTATTATTCAATCATTTCACCAAATAGGAACTGAGAGTCGAGAAAAATTATAATAAAGTATATAATTACTTGCTCATTTAGCGTTAATACAGACCCTTGCTAACGCGTGCCTATGGATTACCATGACAACGCTGCAGACCAGTGAACTCGGGACCTTGGTTATGCGTCGCTCGTTAATAACGCAACATTCGTGAACTGGTCGACTGGACTTAGGTACCGAAGAATCCGAGCTCTACTTATTACATACAAGAAGAAACTCAAAATGTACGCTTATAGCACTGAAGAGTATCTGATATAATTTTCGTGTATGGTTTTTGCAATGGAAATGTTCGACAATCAGTACGAGAATATCAAGAAAGATTTCCACACCGTCATTTGCCATATTATTCAGTTTTTCGCGATTATTTCAGAAGACTTCGAGAAACAGGTAATCCTGGCCCAGCAAAAGCTATTCTACCGCATGTAGTTAATGTAGAGGACGAAGAAGCTGTAATTAATGCTGTCATTGATAATCCTTCCATCAGCACTCGAATAGCACACAACATGGATGTAAGTCAAAATTTTGCATGGTGCGTATTGAACCGCGAAGTCCTTCATCCGTATCGTAAACAGAATGTTCAAGCTCTACAGCCAGGAGATAATCAGCAACGGTTCATTTCAGATGTTCTCTGGACAGATGAATCATGTTTTACACGAGATTGTATAAATAATTACCATAATGAACATATCTGGGCATTACAAAATCCGCATGCGATTAGACCAAGGAAATTTCAACAACGTTTCAGCATCAACGTTTGGGCTGGAATATTTAACAACAATTTACTAGGTTTGCATGTACTTGATGGATGTTTGAACGCTGTATATTACAGATTTTTTTTGAACAATACACTTTTTGATTTACTTGAAGATATGCCTCTTAATGTAAATCATTATGAAATCAAAAGTTGATAATCGCTTGAAATTGAAGATGGCGTTGGAAAAAGTTTATTTCTAGCATGAATCATAGTATTCATCAAACCTATTCATTTGATACCTCGCTTATAAAAATCGGAAGAGTTACAGCTAGCGGCATTCTTGTGTGACAACCTGTATATGGAAGTATACAGGTTGTCACACAAGAAAACGGTAAAACGCCAGTAATTGACTGTTGGTCAGTGTTTGACGGTTTTTGTAAAAAAATGTAAAAAAATAAGGATCCAAGGAATATCTAAAAAAATATAAATGTATCCATAAATAGCCACCAGTCTCCTCTCCACTCCCTAGTACACAAAAAGTCCACGACCATACCGTTCTTGAGTTTTTGTTGTTTAATTTCGCGCTAACTGCCGGCCTATTCGCATCGTGCTAAAAAGCGTAATTTTTATGTTTAGAAATTCGCCCAAACAGGATA